CAGCTCCTTCAAGTTGGATGGGTTCCGCTGGTGTACTGCAATCTTTAAGTCATACCACAGATTCTCAGTTGGATTGAGGTCTGGGCTTTGACTAGGCCATTCCAAGACATTTAAATGTTTCCCCTTAAACCACTCAAGTGTTGCTTTAGCAGTATGCTTAGGGTCATTGTCCTGCTGGAAGGGGAACCTCCGTCCCAGTCTCAAATCTCTGGAAGACTGAAACCGGTCTCCCTCAAGAATTTCCCTGTATTTAGCGCCATCCGTCATTCCTTCAATTCTGACCAGTTTCCTAGTCCCTGCCGATGAAAAACATTCCCACAGCATGATGCTGCCACCACCATGCTTCACTGTGGGGATGGTGTTCTCAGGGTGATGAGAGGTGTTGGGCTTGCGCCAGACATAGCGTTTTCCTTGATGGCCAAAAAGCTACATTTTAGTCTCATCTGACCAGAGTACCTTCTTCAATATGTTTGGGGAGTCTCCCACATGGCTTTTGGCGAACACCAAACGTGTTTGCTTATTTTTTTCTTTAAGCAATGGCTTTTTTTCTGGCCACTCTTCCGTAAAGCCCAGCTCTGTGGAGTGTACGGCTTAAAGTGGTTCTATGGACAGATAATCCAATATCCGCTGTGGAGCTTTGCAGCTCCTTCAGGGTTATCTTTGGTCTCTTTGTTGCCTCTCTGATTAATGCCCTCCTTGCCTTGTCTGTGAGTTTTGGTGGGCGGCCCTCTCTTGGCATGTTTGTTGTGGTGCCATATTCTTTCCATTTTTTAATAATGGATTTAAATTGTGCTCCGTGGGATGTTCAAAGTTTCAGATATTTTTTTATAACCCAACCCTGATCTGTACTTTTCCACAACTTTGTCCCTGACCTGTTTGGAGAGCTCCTTGGTCTTCATGGTGCCGCTTGCTAGGTGGTGCCCCTTGCTTAGTGGTGTTGCAGACTCTGGGGCCTCTCAGAACAGGTGTATATATACTGAGATCATGTGACAGATCATGTGACAGTTAGATTGTACACAGGTGGACTTTATTTAACTAATTTTGTGACTTCTGAAGGTAATTGGTTGCACCAGATCTTATTTAGGGGCTTCATAGCAAAGGGGGTGAATACATATGCACGCACCACTTCTCCGTTATTTATGTTTTATCATTTTTTGAAACAAGTTATTTTTTTCATTTCACTTCACCAATTTGGACTATTTTGTGTATGTCCATTACATGAAATCCAAATAAAAATCCATTTAAATTACAGGTTGTAATGCAACAAAATAGGAAAAACGCGAAGGGGGATGAATACTGTGTCCCATAATGTACCTACATTCCATACAGAACCAGGCTAATAATCTTTCAAATTAGCATGCCCTTGCAGGGCTTGACATTCAGGTATATTTACCAGTGGGACACCGGGCCAGTGCCAACTGAAAGCTACTGGCCCGAATGAAAAGAATACTGGCACGTGAAAGCAGATGATGCGTGCATCATTTAAATGTCATCTTTAATTTGCAGGCTGAGCAAGTAGCCTATAATGACCTACCCTCCATATACAAATAATTACATTTTAACTTGCCAATATCATTATTGATTGTTTGGAAGCGGAAAAAACATTTGCGCAACATCAAAAAGGGTATTTTTGGTAGCGATTTTCAACAGCCTGTTGTAGGGCCTTTTAAAATCAGTTTTATCTTTTGGTAAATTCCGTTTTCCAGGTTAAATTTTTTTTATATAAAAAAGCAAAAATGTGATGTTATAAGCCCACAACAATGCTTAAACCACATCAAGAGACCACTTTTGAGGTATAGGAACAATAAACATTAAAAAAAAGGAGGGTGTCGTTGCCCTTTAATTCAATTGTGCGCCTAGCAAGAGACCGTTGTGTTTGGCTAGCAGTGTTTTTGTACTGTACAATGTAGGCTACATGTGATGGCAGAGTATGCACACAAATGGCCCACGATTTATACAAATCATCATGATATCTTTCTGCCAGGTAGGCCTACTTTGCAGTCAACATTTAATTGGGAAGATTTTTTGGGAAAGCCTTTAGAAATGTTAATTAAAACAGGGCATGATGGCTGAATTGTGCATCAAAGATTCAACCAAGACTTCGACCCAAACTTTTTGAATACCTGGTCTGCATACCCATTGCTGTTTGAATACATCTTGATCTCATATATATATATATATACACATATACACACAAGTATTTGATACACTGCCGATTCTGCAGGTTTTCCTACTTACAAAGCATGTAGAGGTCTGTAATTTTTATCATAGGTACACTTCAACTGTGAGAGACGGAATCTAAAACAAAGATTTTTAAGTAATTAATATGCATTTTATTGCATGACATAAGTATTTGATACATCAGAAAAGCAGAACTTAATATTTGGTACAGAAACCTTTGTTTGCAATTACAGAGATCATACGTTTCCTGTAGTTCTTGACCAGGTTTGCACACACTGCAGCAGGGATTTTGGCCCACTCCTCCATACAGACCTTCTCCAGATCCTTCAGGTTTCGGGGCTGTCGCTGGGCAATACAGACTTTCAGTTCCCTCCAAAGATTTTCTATTGGGTTCAGGTCTGGAGACTGGCTAGGCCACTCCAGGACCTTGAGATGCTTCTTACGGAGCCACTCCTTAGTTGCCCTGGCTGTGTGTTTCGGGTCGTTGTCATGCTGGAAGACCCAGCCACGACCCATCTTCAATGCTCTTACTGAGGGAAGGAGGTTGTTGGCCAAGATCTCACGATACATGGCCCCATCCATCCTCCCCTCAATACGGTGCAGTCGTCCTGTCCCCTTTGCAGAAAAGCATCCCCAAAGAATGATGTTTCCACCTCCATGCGCTGGCTTGAGCAGGGGGACCTTGCGTGCGCTGCAGGATTTTAATCCATGACAGCGTAGTGTGTTACTAATGGTTTTCTTTGAGACTGTGGTCCCAGCTCTCTTCAGGTCATTGACCAGGTCCTGCCGTGTAGTTCTGGGCTGATCCCTCACCTTCCTCATGATCATTGATGCCCCACGAGGTGAGATCTTGCATGGAGCCCCAGACCGAGGGTGATTGACCGTCATCTTGAACTTCTTCCATTTTCTAATAATTGCGCCAACAGTTGTTGCCTTCTCACCAAGCTGCTTGCCTATTGTCCTGTAGCCCATCCCAGCCTTGTGCAGGTCTACAATTTTATCCTTGATGTCATTACACAGCTCTCTGGTCTTGGCCATTGTGGAGAGGTTGGAGTCTGTTTGATTGAGTGTGTGGACAGGTGTCTTTTATACAGGTAACGAGTTCAAACAGGTGCAGTTAATACAGGTAATGAGTGGAGAACAGGAGGGCTTCTTAAAGAAAAACGAACAGGTCTGTGAGAGCCGACATTCTTACTGGTTGGTAGGTGATCAAATACTTATGTCATGCAATAAAATGCAAATTAATTACTTAAAAATCATACAATGTGATTTTCTGGATTTTTGTTTTAGATTCCGTCTCTCACAGTTGAAGTGTACCTATGATAAAAATTACAGACCTCTACATGCTTTGTAAGTAGGAAAACCTGCAAAATCAGCAGTGTATCAAATACTTGTTCTCCCCACTGTAGGTCCTGGATGGCAGGAAGCTTGGCCCCAGTGATGTACTGGGCCATACGCACTACCCTCTGTAGCGCCTTACGGTCAGATGCCGAGCAGTTGCCATAGCAAGCGGTGATTCAACCCGTAAGGATGCTCTCGATAGGGCAGTTGTAGAACTTTTTGAGGATCTGGGGACCCATGCCAAATCTTTTCAGTCTCCTGAGGGGGAAAAGGTGTTGTCGTGCCCTCTTCACGACTGTCTTGATGTGTTTGGACCATGATAGTTCGTTGGTGATGTGGACAACAACGAACTTGAAACTCTCCACCCGCTCCACTACAACACCGTCGATGTTAATGGGGGCCTGTTTGGCCAGCCATTTCCTGTAGTCCATGATCAGCTCCTTTGTCTTGCTCACATTGAGGGAGAGGTTGTTGTCTTGGCACCACACTGCCAGGTCTCTGACCTCTTCCCTATAGGCTGTCTCATCGTTGTCGTTGATCAGGCCTACCACTGTTGTGTCGTCAGTAAACGTAATGAGTGCAGAGCAGCGCGTGTGCACATTTGTTGATATTCTTTGCTAGTTAGCAAGTTATTAGCCCAGTTATAGATAAGTATAGGTCAGCAATGGGGAATTACTGCAAAACGTGTAGGCTACATTTCAAGCTGTCTTTGAAAAGCCAGTCAGGTCAAACTTAATTAAAGGGGCAGTGTTGTATTTTGAAACGGGCTTGAAAATGCAAATAAGCCAATATGTAGAGGGGTAGCTTATATTATTACCATACAGAGAATTAGACTATTTTCTTTTCTTTTGTAAAATGGTTTCTTGCATCATTCAACGCAATACAATGCAATTTACAGTCACCTATTTGGCCCATGGTGTTACAGACCAAATAAAAAGTCCTTTATAATATAAAAACATTTTTAAAAGTCTCATGCAATGTAGGCCTGCATTGAACACCACATATAGGCTACTGTAGGCTATATCATAGAAATCAAAAGCTATTTCCATGTGAAAATGTTATGGGATTTGCTTCACTGGTTTTGTTGGTAGGCCTACATTATGCTCAAATAGCCACAATAGCCTATTATTGGCTACCGTCTAAAACTGTAAGGGTACAGCCTCAGTGTTCACTGTAAACATGCGCCGGAAGTTGAACACAATTCTTACAACATTCAAGTTTCCGCTCACAATACCTAAGCCTTGCTCAATGCCCCCAGAATTTTGAGGGGACATTGGTCACAAATGCGAGTGTTTTGGTCGCAGTTTTGAGCCCTGACTCAAAAGCCTGACTCCAGAGACTCTTTGTGAATACAGGCCCTGGTCTAGGTCTCTGATGTGTGTGTGCTTCGTCTAATACCATTACAGGATTTGTCTGTAATTTCAAATCTAAGGAATTGATTGGAACCCCAGTAAATTAATCAAAGTAAAGGAAGTCAATCATACCTTGAGGAGGGCCAGGGCCACGTTGAAGATGATGTTCAGACCCTAAGGAAGAGAAGATTATTATATTGTCAATTGTCACTGGACATAGTCTTCACACACACACACACACACACACAGCTCAGACCATCACCTAAACACATCTGTCATACAGTGGTGTTAGATAAGGCATGGATCAATTGTTCTCACCAACTGTCTTCATATCAACGGCTTTACCATTTAAAAGTCATGCCAATAAACCATGTAGTAAATGTTAATGTTTTCTTGCTATAGGCTTAATAAGGTTAAAATGATCTTCAAAATGAAAGACTCCTTCTAATAAATACTTATGAAAGTGCTGTGCAGCTTTCGTGTTAGGGCTAAGAAGAAACCCACTTTTAAAAAATTACGTAATGATACTTGTTGTACCGGTGGAATGCATGTGTTGCTATCAACCCATCTAATGTTGTACGTTCATTCATGACATCATCTGTATGCATACGCGCTGGAAAATAAACTGTCCTTTGGGGATAAAGAGGACTCCTTAGGAAACGTTACGGTAACATTTCACTTATGTTAATGGAACGCCCACCTCTGAGGATGCAAAGGCACCCCGACTGCCAGTACCGAGTGACATAATCATCTTGAAGTGAAACAGACAGTCCCTCTCACAGACAGGTGGGGCTGCATCATGGCCACAGAGTGACGAATGAATGAATGACACACACACACACATACACACACAGAGATAGAGCGAGAGGGGAGAGAGAGAAATTGTAAGAAGGAGTAAGGGACAAGGGTCATAGACTAACAGATAGAGGGAGAACACCAAAAGGAGAAAGCAAGAGAGAGTGACAAAGAGAGAGAGCGACAAAGAGAGAGGGCGACAAAGAGAGAGAGCGACAAAGAGAGAGAAAAACAGAGGGAGAGCTAGCGAAAGAGAGGCGTGAGGGAGAGCAAGCGAAACAGAGCGAGAGAGGGTGAGAGAGGATGAGAGAGGGAGCGAGTGAGAGAGAGAGAGGGAAGGAGAGAGCGTGGATGCTGAAGTCAACTCCGCATGGGAACACCTGTCTCCATCGCTCCGACACCCCGTTCACATGGCAACACTGTGCTAAAAATATCTCCCCATCTCTATAAATAACTGAGGAAAGGGCCTCTCTTTCTCCCCCTCTTCCCCTCCCCTTCCTCCCTCCATCTCTCACTTTCTTTCTCAAAAGGCTCTAGATGGCGCTGGGGTGTCGGGGAGTCAGAGAGCGAGAGAGAGGGAGGGTGGTGTGTGTGTGTAGACTGAGTGAGTGTGTGTGTGTGTGTGGAGTGAGTACGTGAGTGAGTGGGTGATTGTGTGTGTGGAGTGAGTGAGTGTGTGTTTGAACACAGTCTACCGACAAACTTTCACATGCAGCGTGCCATACTAAGCTGGAGCCAAACAGAGTCAGCAAGTGTGAGAGGAGGTTTTATTGTTGAGGAGAAACACACAGTCAGGCGCACTTGCACACACACCTCGCACCACACAGACACACCTTGCGGCACACACACAAACACACACACCTCGCACCACACACATACACGGATACACAGAGAGCGAGAGAGAGAGAGGTGTGGAGAAATGAAAGGGAAGACAACACAGGAGCACACAATCAAAGGAGAAGAGAGAGAGAGAGAGAGAGAGAGAGAGAGAGAGAGAGAGAGAGAGAGAGAGAGAGAGAGAGAGAGAGAGAGAGAGAGAGAGAGAGGAGTGACAATGACAACATAGAAATCAGATTGAGGCATGGGTAAAGCCCAGAACAATAAGAAAGAGAGAGAGGTATGGAGAAGGAGAGAAGTAGAGAAAGAGAGATATATTAGAAGGAGGCAGAGGAGAGAGAAGCAGATTCTCATCACACGGCTCAATGGCTGAGAAACGCCAAGGAAACTATTAATTGTTCTGCCCGGGGGACGAGAGAGGGTGGGAGAGGGGGATGAAAGGAGAGAGGAGGAGAGGAAGAATAGAGAGAATCACAGAGAGAGAGAGGTAAGGAGAGAGGGTGAAGAAAAAGGGAGGAGGAGAGGAAGTGAGAAAATCACAGAGAAAGAGACAAAGGCCCAAGTTTCCCTTCTCTCCTGTGGTACCAGGTCTAAAGGAGGGCTGAGAAGAGAAATAGGCAGAGGGTATACTACTATCTTGAAGGGCCTTTGGGGATTTGATGGGTTTATCGTGCTAGAATGGTTTTCTCACTTCTCATTGTCATTATTGTTCCAAGGTAGACATTAGCTTTAAGGAGGTACAAAAAGGTGTGTGAATAGTGAAGAGTCGTGTAGAGTTGTTCAAAGCCTAGGGTGGTAGATGGAAGGGTGAGAGTAAGGTTAAGATTAGTGCTTACCAACAGCAGGTTGGGTTAGGAGTAGGGTTAGGGTGAGGCCCAGTGTTGGGGTTAACAGTAGGGTTAAGGTAAGAGCCAGTGTTGAGGTTAGGACTAGGAGTAGGACCAGTATTGGGTAAGTGTTGGGGTTAGGAGTAGTGCTAAAATGATATTCAATGTTGTCAAACTTCTTACCTCACACAGTAGCAGGTCAGTGATGTGGAAGACCATGCAGAGGGGGAACTTGGCAGTGAAGAGTGTGAGGAACCACTGAGATGCGTACATGTGGGCCTCCAGGTTCAGCTCCTGGAAGTGGGACCACAGCTCTGGGAGCTGCTCCTAGAGATGGGAGGACAGGAGAGAGGAGAGGAAAGAGTTCATTTCACATACTATACACTGAGTATAGAAAACATTAAGAACATGACATAGGCTGACCAGGTGAAAGCTATGATCCCTTATTGAAGTCACTTGAATCAGTGTAGATGAAGGGGAGGAGACAGGTTAAAGAAGGATTTTTAAGCCTTGAGACAATTGAGACATGGATTGTGTATGTGTGCCATTCATAGGGTGAATGGGCAAGACAAAAGATTTAAGTGCCTTTGAAGGGGGTATGGTAGGTGCCAAGCGCACCGGTTTGTATCAAGAACTGCAACGCTGCTGGGTTTTTCACGCTCAACAGTTTCCTGTGTGTACCAAGAATGGTCCACCACCCAAAGGACATCCAGCCAACTTGACACAACTGTGGGAAGCATTGGCGTCAACATGGGCCAGCATCCCTGTGGAACGCTTTCGACACCTTGTAGAGTAAATGCCCTGACAAATTGAGGCTGTTCTGAGGGCAGGGGGTATAAGTAAGAGTGCATCACACAGAGGGGAGAGCGTTCATTTCACAGTACTATATGTCAGGCAGTCAACCAATCGAGAGAGAAGAGTGAGTGAGAGTAAGAGAGGGAGAGAGAGCGAGAGAAAAAGTTGGTCTTAAATGCCATGCTGAGCGTAGCTACATCCGACTTTGGGATCAGATTTGAAACCTGTTGCACCAACAAAATAATAAGACTAGTTGTAGCTATGTCCGGCGTAAGCAATGCTCATTCTTGAGATTTGATGCTTCATAATGATGGTTGCTAGGCAGCGCCAGTTACTAGGCTGTTACCATCCTCGTGGCAGTTTGCGAGGCATGTCACTTCGACCATCACGTCGCAAAGACCACGGTCAATCACTACGCATGCACATTTTCTTAACCACAACTGGATGGATCCATAAAGAATTAACTGGATGGATCCATAAAGAATTATTGCGGGAATAAATATCACTGAATTAAAAAAATATTGCAATAATAGGCTAATGCAATTCAAGACATATTCTAAATGGTTGCTTACTGAAAGTCCCAAAGTTATCCAACCGTACATGCTAAGCAATAATATCCAATAATAGTGTGGTCAACGAGATGATAATTTCAGCACCGTTTTGATTGCGACAGCGCCATCGCGCTGCTTTGAGACAAGCATGGGGACTTGTCTTGATAAATCAATGTCAGATTTTTGTTTTCACTGAATCTCCATTTAGATATTTGGTTACAATTAGACTGGGAAAATGCTAGCTAGCTAAGTTGAGGTGAGTATTCATCATCATTAGTCGAGTTTGTTCATCTATTAGCAGGACTGATCAGAACATTTTGCTAGCATGTTATGTAGCGTAGTAGTCGATTATTTTGCTCTTCACTCGCATAGTAGCCTAGGCCTACTCCCCGACCAAAAGCCTGTGACTTGTCGGATAATCAATCAATGGGATTTTGTTTCACTGAATCTCCGTCTGTATATTTGGTTAATTGATCTCTGGCTGGGTAAATAATTGGCGGTGCACCTCTGTTTGCTCATCTATCACGGATCAGAAACGTTCAGCATGCTAATCATACTAAGTGTGTGTTTGTCAGCTTCTGCGTGTGTGTGTGTATTTGCAACCGTGCACATTTGTGTACCAAACGCTCCTTTTATGAACTCAAACACAAAGCCAATAACACTTCAGCACCCAGCCCAGTGTGGAAATGTAGTGTGGAAATGTAGTGAGGAAATGTAAGAAGAGCAGGGTTGGCGGAAACAGTGACTATGTCCCAAATGGCACCCTATTCCCTAGATCGGGGTAGGCAACCCTGGTCCTGGAATGCCGCAGGCACTTCACATTTTTGATTTAACCAACCTGGAAGACCAGGTTTGTTGAATTTACGCAGTCACTAAACTGATTAATTAGCTCAGTTGGTCAGGTGTGGTGCCTAGTTGGAACAAAATCCTGCAGTACCTACGGCACTCCAGGAACAGGGTTGCCTACCCCTGCCCTAGATAGTGGGATGCAGACATTCTTTGCTGTGAACACTGGCTTCCTTCCACCTGTATGCCAACCCTTAGCTATCAATGCTCATACTCCTTAGCTTCGGGAGCTTGTCAATACTAACCCAGTGCAGCTTGGTGCTGAAAAAAAGCCGACTTAGGAGGCTAACGAGGATTTCCGTACAAAATTAAACTCCAATTTGGAATGGATTCATCCTAATATCTAACCTACGACTGGCACTTACATGAATAGTCAGTCAGTGTTCTTTATAAGGTGCATGGACCATGGGTGAGAGTCTGCAGATACACACACACGCTGATCCAGTGGTGGAAAAGTACCCAATTGTCATACTTGAGTAAAAGTAAAGATACCTTAATAGAAAATGATTCAAGTAAAAGTGAAAGTCACCCAGTAAAATAGTACTTGAGTAAAAGTCTAAAAGTATTTGGTTTTAAATATACTGAAGTCTCGAAAGTAAATGTAATTGCTAAAATATACTTAAGTAGTAAAAGTAAAAGTATGAATCATTTCAAATTCCTTATAATAAGCAAACCAGATGGCACCATTGTTTTAATTTGAATTTTTTCGGATAGCCAGGTGAACACTCCTACTCTCAGACATGGGTGTCAGGGAAAATGTATGGAGTAAAAAGTACATTATTTTATTTTGGAATGTAGGGAAGTAAAAGCAAAAGTAGTCCCAAAAAAATAGTAAAGTACAGATACCGCCAAAAACTACTTAAGTTGTACTTGAAAGTATTTTTACTTAAGTACTTTACACCACTGCGCTGATGATGTGCGTATGTACACACACACTAAGATAAGAAAGCTAACCTGAAGCAGTCGTTCTAGCTGGTAGAACTTGCAGTGCAGGTCCTCAAAGTTCTTCTTGTAGAGCTCCCTCAGGCCGTACTCATACATGATCTTCACCAGCACACAGAATGCCTGCTCCTCAGGCATCTACATCCACAGGACGGAACAGAACCAGAAGAGGGTTAGATAGAATACGAACGGAGGGATGACAGAAGATGTGTGGGAAACAGGAAGGTAGGGGCGGCAGGTAGCTTAGTGGTTAAGAGCGTTGTACCAGTAACCGAAAGGTCGCTGGTTCTAATCCCCAAGCCGACTAGGTGAAAAATCTGTCGATGTGCCCTTGAGCAAGGCACTTAACCCTAATTGCTCCTGTAAGTCGCTCTGGATAAGAGCGTCTGCTAAATGACCAATTTATTTATTTAATTATAGGAAGTCAAGTTGTTTCCTTCTATTCCTTGACTTATTTGATTTTACAAATGTCAACATAAAACAGGATATAGTTAAGATATATACACTACCGGTCAAAAGTTTTACAACACCTACTCATTCTAGGGTTTTTTACTTTATTTTTACTATTTTCTACATTGTAGAATAATAGTGAAGACATCAAAACTATGAAATAACACATTTGGAATCATGTAGTATGCAGTAAAGTGTTCAAGAAATCAAACTATATTTTATATATTCTTCAAATAGCCACCCTTTGCCTTGATGACAGCTTTGCACACTCTTGGCATTCTCTCAACCAGCTTCATGAGGAATGCATTTCAATTAACAGGTGTGCCTTTTTAAAAGTTAATTTGTGGAATTTCTTACCTTCTTAATGCGTTTGAGCCAATCAGTTGTGTTGTGACAAGGTAGAGGGGGTATACAGAAGATAGTCCCGTGTAGCTCAGTTGGTAGAGCATGGCGGTTGCAACGCCAGGGTTATGGGTTCGATTCCCACGGGGGATTAGTATGAAAATGTATGCACTCACTACTGTAAGTCGCTCTGGATAAGAGTGTCTGCTAAATGACTAAAATGTAAAATGTAATAGCCCTATTTGGTAAAATACCAAGTCCATATTATGGCAAGAACAGATCAAATAAGCAAAGAGAAACGACAGTCCATCATTAATTTAAGATATGAAGGTCAGTCAATACTGAACATTTCAAGAACTTTGAACTTTTCTTCAAGTGCAGTTGCTGAAACTGGCTCTCATGAGGACCGCCACAGGAATGAAAGACCCAGAATTCCTTCTGCTGCAGAGGATAAGTTAATCAGAGTTACCAACCTCAGAAATTGCAGCCCAAATAAATGCTTCACAGAGTTCAAGGGAGGCCAGCGGTCTAAGGCACTGCATCTCAGTGCTTGAGGCGTCACAACAGACCCCCTGGTTCGATTCCAGGCTGTATCACAACCGGCAGTGATTGGGAGTCCCATAGGGCGGCGCACAGCGTCGTCCGGGTTTGGCCGGTGTAGGCCGTCATTGTAAATAAGAATGTATTCTTAACTGACTTGCCTAGTTAAATAATCTATTAAGGTTCCAACCGCCGTGTCTTTGTGAGATGCGGTGTGGGTGAACGGATGATCTCTGCATGTGTATTTCCCACCGTAAAGCATGGAGGAGGTGGTGTTATGGTGTGGGGGTGCTTTGCTGGTGACACTGTCTGTGATTTATTTAGAATTCAAGGCACACTTAACCAGCATGGCAACCACACCATTCTGCAGCGATACGCCATCCCATCTGGTTAGTGGGACTATCATTTGTTTTTCAACAGGACAATGACCCAACACACCTCCAGGCTGTGTAAGGGCTATGTTACCAAGAAGGAGAGTGATGGAGTGCTGCATCAGATGACCTGGCCTCCACAATCCCCCGACCTCAACCCAATTGAGATGGTTTGGGATGAGTCGGACCGCAGAGTGAAGGAAAAGCAGCCAACAAGTGCTCAGCATATGTGGGAACTCCTTCAAGACTGTTGGAAAAGCATTCCAGGTGAAGCTGGTTGAGAGAATGGCAAGAGTGTGCAAAGCTGTCATCAAGGCAACGGGTGGCTATTTGAAGAATCTCAAATATATTTTGATTTGTTTAACACTTTTTTGGTTACTAGATGATTCCATATGTGTTATTTCATAGTTTTGATGTCTTCACTATTATTCTACAATGTAGAAAATAGTAAAAATAAAGAAAAGCCCTTGAATGAGTAGGTGTTCTAAAACTTTTGACCAGTAGTATATAATGTCGACATTTAATCTCTAAGGCTTTTCTCAATAGACAATGCACTGCCACAAACATAAGTAGGATAAATTCTTGGTGGAATTTATTGTCACTTGAAAGTGTTGTCTGTCTGTAGATTGAGAGGGACGTTTCCTCCAAACATTCTTTGTCCCACTGGGGAAGAGTTGGGAAACAGTTGGAGCAAAAGAGGAAGGTGAGAGAGGGACTAAAAGAGAAAGGAGGATGAGGTGTGTGAGTAAGAGAAGCAAGGTGAGAATCTGGTGTGTTTGAAAGAAAGCCAGAAGGTGGGAGTGTCAGTGTGAAATACACGGGGTGTGATTATGTCCACCCCCCTCTTTAATGTGTGAGAGAGCGAGCGCGAAAGAGAGAGATACACCCACACACACACAGAGCAGAGGGTATTTAATCAGGGTGACAGTGTGTGTGTCCTGGGCTGAGACAGACGCAGCCATTAATATTCCTGACACTTCCCCTGCCTTCCAAAGGGGATCTCTCTTTCTCTCACCCTCTCTTTTCTCTCCTCCTCTCCTCTCCCTCCATTTATTCTTTATTACTCATCCTCTCTGCACTGTTCCCTCTCCACAATTCTCACGCCATCTCTTTCTATCCCTCCTTCCCACCTCCCTCTCTCACGTCGTCTCTCCTTCATTCTCTCTTGTTCCCAGTCATCCTCCTGTCAGATTTACTGGCCTGTTCACTTATTCACTCCATTCTGGCTGCACTCTCCTCCCTCTGCTCAACCTTAACTTTCCTTCATTCCCTCTCCATCGTTCTCACTCTCAGTCCTAATACAACAGGCTGTTAATAAGTGCACTCAGGATAAGTGCAATATTTTCCCAGAGCCAATTCAACACATTTTTTCTATTTCATTGTCAGTGTAGATTTTTGTTAGAATTGTATTTTGTAGAACTGTTCGGTTTGTTTGGGTAGACTTTAGTCTCAACTCCTCTCTGTGGTTCCATAGACGTTGTATTGACGTTTGATCCCCACGTACATGCAGTAGTAGCACAGCAGCCAGGAAGGACTGTCCCTGACAGTAGCCAATCTCCTCATCGTAGACTGAATAGGCCTGGAACACAGAGCGGAGAGGGGACAACGTTAGGCAATAGGTACTTCATACCAAACAATGAACAAGAAACTGTGTGTGTGTGTGTGTGTGTGTGCGTGCGTGTGTTTGTGTAGCATGCATGTAACATATTGAACAAGTTGTTTGTTAAAGTGTGACACTAAATATTCACTGTAAATTCCCAAATCTCTGACATTCAACAGGTCTCTAAGTGTTTCAGAGAGAAAGTGCTTTTGACATGTTAAGGTGTTCCGTTTGTTATTTGTGGTTTCAACTTGCTCAACCTCTGCAGTTTCACAGTTTTAGACAAAAACTGAGTATACAAAACATTAGGAACACACCCCCCTCCTTTTGCCTTCAGAACAGCCTCAATTTGCCGGGGCACGGACTCTACAAGATGTCGAAAGCGTTCCAGAGGGATGCTGGCCCATGTTGACTCCATTGCTTAACATGTTGTGTCAAGTTGGCTGGATGTCCTTTGGGTGGTGGACCATTCTTGATACACACAGGAAACTGTTGAACGTGAAAAACCCAGCAGCATTGCAGTTCTTGACACCTACTACCATACCCCGTTCAAAGGCACTTAAATCTTTTGTCTTCCTACTCAACCACTGAATGGCACACATACACAATCCATGTCTCAATTGTCTTAAGGCTTAAAAATCATTTTTAACCTGCCTCCTCCCCTTCATCTACACTGATAGAAGTAATCAACATTATAAAATTAATAGATTTGGTAGAGATTGGCATTATTTTGACCTCTCCACAGTTCATTGGAAGAGGAAGTGTAAAGTAACATACAGTGCCTTCAAAAAGTATTCACACCCCTTGACTTTCTCCACATTTTTTTTGTGTTACAACGTGGGATTAAAACGTATGTGTCTTTATTTTTCAATGATCTACACACAATACTAACATTTGTAAAACTAAAACAAAAATAAAAACACTAATATACACTACCGGTCAAAAGTTTTAGAACACCTAGTCATTCAAGGGTTTTTCTTTATTTGTACAATTTTCTACATTGTAGAATAATAGTGAAGACATCAAAACTATGAAATAACACATATGGAATCATGTAGTAACCAAAAAAAAGTGTTAAACAAATCAAAAATATATTTTATATTTGAGATTCTTCAAATAGCCACCCTTTGCATTGATGACAGCTTTGCAGTGTCTTGGCATTCTCTCAACCAGCTTCACCTGGAATGCTTTTCCAACAGTCTTGAAGGAGTTCCCACATATGCTGAGCACTTGGCTGCTTTTCCTTCACTCTGCGGTCCGACTCATCCCAAACCATCTCAATTGGGATTGTGGAGGCCAGGTCATCTGATGCAGCACTCCATCACTCTCCTTCTTGGTAAAATAGCCCTTACACAGCCTGGAGGTGTGTTGGGTCATTGTCCTGTTGAAAAACAAATGATAGTCCCACTAAGCCCAAACCAGATGGGCTGGTGTATCGCTGCAGAATGCTGTGGTAGCCATGCTGGTTAAGTGTGCCTTGAATTCTAAATAAATCACAGACAGTGTCACCAGCAAAGCACCCCCACACCATAACACCTCCTCCTCCACACTTTATGGTGGGAACTACACATGCAGAGATCATCCGTTCACCCACACCGCATCTCACAAAGACACGGCGGTTGGAACCAAAAATCTCCAATTTAGACCAAAGGACACATTTCCACCAGTCTAATGTCCATTGCTCGTGTTTCTTGGCCCAAGCAGGTCTCTTCTTCAAATAGGTGTCATTTAGTCGTGGTTTCTTTGCAGCAATTCGACCATGAAGGCCTGATTCACACAGTCCCCTCCGAACAATTGATGTTGAGATGTGTCTGTGACTTGAACTCTGTGAAGAATTTATTTGGGCTGCAATTTCTGAGGCTGGTAATTCTAATGAACTTATCCTCTGCAGCAGAGGGAACTCTGGGTCTTCCATTCCTGTGGCGGTCCTCATGAGAGCCAGTTTCATCATAGCGCTTGATGGTTTTTGCGACTGCACTTTCAAAGTTCTTGACATTTTTCATATTGACTGACCTTCATGTCTTAAAGTAATGATGGACTGTCGTTTCTCTTTCTTATTTGAGCTGTTCTTGCCATAATATGGACTTGCTCTTTTACCAAACGGGGCTATCTTCTGTATACCACCCCTACCTTGTCACAACACAACTAATTGGCTCAAACGCATTAAGAAGGAATGAAATTCCACAAATTAACTTTTAAGAAGGCACACATGTTAATTGAAATGCATTCCAGGTGACTACCTCATGAAGCTGGTTGAGAGAATGCCAAGAGTGTGCAAAGCTGTCATTAAAGCAAAGGGTGGCTATTTGAAGAATCTCAAATACAAAATATATTTTGATTTGTTTAACACATTTTTGGTTACTATATGATTCCATATGTGCTATTTCATAGTTTTGATGTCTTCACTATTATTCTACAATGTAAAAAATAGTAAAAATAAATAAAAACCTTTCAATGAGTAGGTGTGTCCAAACTTTTAACTGGTAGTGTATATTTTCTGCATGCTTTCTATCTGGTTTTGGTCATTTAAGTTGAGTGAAACTGTTTTTCCATCTCGAAATTTACCACTTAGACGGCCCGCCTAAGAATTTTATATACAGAAAAAAACTGTAATTAGCTCCATTGACCGTAATTTCCTCCATATTAACCTAATAGTTAGATTTTGGCAATGAAGTCTTATCTTTTTCCCCCAGAGTCAGATGAACACGAGCCGCTAGCATGCCAACTGTTCCTTTAGACTTCCAGTAATTGCGCTAACACTAGTTAGCATTGGTTCGTGAAACTACCTTTTACTTACTGGACGCAGAGAAAGATACATAAAAATGTTATCCAAGATGGTATTATGTTGCAGCTAGCGATATTAATAATATAAAATAATTATTTTTTTGATATAAAATCAGCCCCCATGAAGTACCCAGTTTGAAAACCTCTGGCCTAGACTATAAAGTATAACCAGCTGTCACACTGATAGTACATGTTGAGTTGGGAGATGAACATTTGCACGCCTCAAACAGCATCGAAAGCATATTTCCTGAGGAGACTGACTCGGCCCTTCGTTTCTTGCTGAAAGCCCTTTCGGGACTGTCTTTGTCTGAGCGACTTTAATCTGTATGTGCCAATCAAGAGATGGAAAGCTTCGCAAAGCCCTGTTTTCAAAGAGCAGATTTAACAACAGAGGGAGAGCGAGGGAGGCAGAGAGAGAGAGAGATGGCTCCCTGCACAAGTCCTCTTAAAAGAACAGCAGTCGGTAAGCAGTTGGCGTAACACCTTCCTCAAAATCTACAGTTTGGGGAATCACTCTACTGTAGGGAAAGACGACAATAATATGAATTTAGGTTACATCTCATATGACATTTGACCAGAACCCTTCTGCACTACTAGTGCATACATTTGACTTCACTCAAACCCTTTGTCCTAGGGGTCTACATAACCATATCCTAAGCGTGACATAATGGAATACATAAGCTGCTATGTAACTACCTGGCTTGTGATTCATACCTTCATAGGGCCGATTCAGAATTGAGATATGCAAGCGTTGAGATAAGCATTCATTGATGTCAATTGGAGCTTTGCATACCTATCTCAAATAAAATAAAATTTTATTGGCCACATGCGCCGAATACAACAGGTGCAGACATTACAGTGAAATGCTTACTTACAGCCCTTAACCAACAGTGCATTTATTTTTCAAGTCAGAATACCGCTCGTAGTGTATAAAGGGTTCCCGTCAGTTGTCATCATGAATGTTTATGCCATCTAGTGGCATAATTATTGGTGTTAACGGCTAACCTTAACAAAATGGATTGAAATCCACATTTCCATGCATCTTGATTGCTGTAACAAGCTTTACAGGTGTATCTTGAATCCCCTTGCATTGCTTTTAATATGAAAATGAAATATGGGCATTTCACCTATGCAATTGGTTTCCTACTTGGCAAGGAATTCACATGGAAGAGTAATTACATTTACATTTTAGTCATTTAGCAGATGCTCTTATCCAGAGCGAGTTAGAGGATCAATTAGGGCTAAGTGCCTTGCTCAAGGGCATATGGACAGATTTTTCACCTTGTCAGCTCGGGGATTTGAACCAGCAACCTTTCGGTTACTGGCCCAACGCTCTTAACCGCTAGGCTACCTGCCTCCCCCGGAGCTGTCTTGAGACTGACAAATGTTTGATGGAGTGTTGCCATTCAGCCCGCTTTGCCGTGGCTTGAAGGATGTACAGTGCTAGATGGATGGGGGTCCGTGAGACCACATCCCTATTTGTCAGTCGGACCCATTTAATTTGCTTAGGTACAGATGAACTGTGACTGGCTGTTGTGTGTGATGATGACCGTTTGGAGTACAACCAATCACTTGCCGGGGAGAATACTGGAGAATTTGACCTAATGTTCACATTGTCGCCCTATTGTTTTCCTCTACTTCTGGGCCTGTATTCACGAAACGTCTAAGAGTTGGAGTGCTTATCTTGGATCAGTTTTTGCCTTTTAGATCGTATTGAATGACATTTTTCGGGACCTGATCCTACAACAGCCAGCAGTGTTTTTTATTTTTTTTATACTGGACCTGACCCAATTCCTTCACAAGGACATCACAGATACATTGAACTTACCTAAAATAAAACACTGTAGGAAGAAAATGCGAGACAAAAGTGTGGCTCTTCAGGAAGTAGCCAACCTTATCAAGAGGCAATCTACATGTATTTGCATACAAATGAGAGCCTGGCACTCAACTGACCTAGATGGTAACAGAGGATGTTAAGGTTTTCTGACACTCAACATTCATTTCACTCTATTGCCTCACCACAGCATGCTTCTGTGTTGTCTGAAAAACGACATGTAAGAACATGTAGCATCATTCTGGACTCATAAAAATATACATTTTATTTGTGTAGCTTGTTTCCAAACTCTAAAAGCAAGTCAAAGTCAGCTACTGTATCTGTGCATCCCAATATGTTACTATGGCAACTTGGTGTGCACAGTATTGTGTGGTTTGTGTTTGCTTGTATGTTTCTGTTTATAATTTATAGTCCTGCGCAGACCTGGGTTCAAATACTATTTAAAATTTTTCAAATACATTGAGAGTAAGATCTAGCCTGCTTGGAGTGCTGAATGAATGGGGTTTGTAGTTTTGGGACTATTCTATTGGTCCATTAAGCAAGTCAAGCTCAATCAAGCACAGACAAGGTTTTTGCAATGATTTTCAATAGTATTAGAACCCAGATCTGGTTCTTTGTACTTATTTATTTATATCCAAGTTTTACATACAAGGTAAGCTGTTAACTGCTCCTGGAAGCGATCCTGGATAGTTTTAAAGACACAGAAACATCAAATCATGTATCCCACCCACTGGCCTAACTCGTCTTCTACCTTTCCTGTCTCCTCTTCACTACCATACCCCAAGAAAACCACACAAAAATACAAAAAAGAGCCACAAACAAATAAGAAAAAAAGAGTGCCATCCATCCTTACCTTACAGATCTTGTAAAGGGAGTCCTGCCCGTCTCCGTCAGTGTCTTTGAAGTAGTCGTGAGCGGGGAACGTCCGGTGGATGTCTCTGGTGATCACTCCGTCCTGGGCAGAGTCCTGCAACACACAACACAAGGACTGTATTAGACCTTTATATGACCGCTTTAGGCTACATTGAACTACAAATAAGAAATAGAATTCTGTGTGCCCGCACAAACCACTTTACAGATGCACATGTACACACATTCGCATGTACGAAGAAAGGCATGACTCCCATTGGTGTCAAAGCAGATCATTTTCATTTCCAACAGACTCTAAAGAGCTATTCCAGTCATTCAATACAGACAACCGGAATCATAGTCAAGAGGAACTTTGACTATTTTTCACAATTTATCAATAAACCATACCACTTCTGTTATTCAAATATCTACAGTATGCACAAGGAAAACATCCTCAGAGAAACAACGGAGCGAGCGAGAGAGAGCGAGCGGGCCAAGGAGGAGAAAGAGAGAGATAATGATATTTTCTGGTTTTCAGAACGTTTGCTGTATGAGCGTCGCCCAGTGGTGTCCCATTCCACTCAGCTGCTGCTGCTTGGGCTTCTAATCTGCAGCGCAGCACTTCCTCTAGGATGACTGGCGGCCTGGCATTTTCACACTACCCACTGTGAGCTGCAGATAAAACAGGCCCCGGCACCCTGACGGCTCTGACTGCTGTGTGTGTGTGTGTGTGTGTGTGTGTGTGTGTGTGTCTGTGTTTATACAAGTGCGTGTGACAGTGCGCGCGAGAAAGAACGAGAAAATACACTGTAGTTCTCATTCGCCCTCTGTAGCTCACTTGTGTCCCACAGAAGCGGGACTGCCAGGCATGCCAGCCTTTGCAGGTTTGAGAGGCGTGCGAGTCAAAACAAACGTGCAGGTTGACGTTCATTGTCATGAGTCAATGCACCGGAGGCAGAACTGAGCGGTTTCCACTAGATGTGCCAGCTGCAAAGTCAATATCGTACAAATTCATGTTTTGTTTTTTTGGGTGTGGCTTTTTGGTCTTAATTTAAGGTTAGGGTTAGGCATTAGGGTTAGCAGTATGTTAGGTTTAACATCAGATTTCATGACTTTGTGGCTGTGCCAGCTAGTGACCACTCTGCAGAGCTGCCTCCGGTACGAGTCATCTCAATAAATGCCACCCTGCAACAAAACGCACTGAAGTAAATGACACTCAATTGTGTGTAATGGAGTTAAAGTGAAGTGGAGGGACGCACTGCTGACTGCGCCTGTTCCCTCGTTCTCCCTCTCCAACAGAAGGCTTATTTATTTGGGCTTGATCTCTCTCTCTCTCTCCCTCCCTCTTTAGCTCTTTGTTAGGTGGGGAATCGGGGGCCCTTTTCAATCAAAGCCGGTCACCAGCATTTCAAGGATGAGGTCAAATTTTCCCAAATGATCTGATTAAAGAGCAATTTTATATTAATATACCCTTGAGTTTCCTTTTGTTTCTCACTGTTTAGCTGAGTACATGAATTCAATAACTCCTTCTTCCAGTGGGAATTTTTTTTTATTTCAGACCCATCTCGGAGACCCAGTCACAGCAGGGCTGGATTTCATAAGACTAAAGTATATTTCAAGTCCCAAAGTATTGTATGATACCTGCAGGCTTTAAGTAAAGTGTTTCTCAAAGAAGACCAGGTTAGGACACCGCTGTTGTTCTGCTAATGCTAATTGGAGGTGTGTAGCTAGTAGCTTTCTCCATATCGTGCCAATACGCTAAGAACAGTTTAGGGGGCAACTGATTAATTTAATTTAAGGAGGCAAACAACGACAGACAGTTGAAGGGTTTGACTGTCGCTGCCAGCCTGGCACACAACAACCTGTAATGCTTTAACGAGATTGGAAACGAGGGGGAGGTATGAAAATGCATTATGGGTAGGTTGGAACTAAACATTTCATATGCTTTCATTACAAGAGCAAACACCAAAAGAGATGAAAATAATATTATCATAATAATATCATAGATACTAGCATGCACATGTACTCGCATGCATGCACACACATGAAACATACACACATTATCTCGCTCAACAATCCACCCTCCCACACCGCTATTTAAGTAGTCCAATAATTAAACAAAGTGCACTACCATGGTAACATCAATCTGGGTCTGGAGGAATCTTGTTGACAGGCCCAGTTGTAAACAGTTTGATTAAATTAACGGCGCATGTCACTACTAATTAAAGGCGTCATTAGTCAACTAACGGCAGTAAATAAGGCTAGGTCTCCTCTCTCTAATTCTCTCTTCAGATGAGCTACTACTCTGATACAAAGTCCTTGGTGTCTCTGATCCGTGCCACTGGCTTGTCATCACACTGCATACGAAGAAAGGGAGAGAAGACAGGATGTCTGAGGTTGGATTTGGGTGCATGTACACTTGTGCATTGGTCAATGGTATTGGCAATGTGTGTTTGTCTGCGTACAGTATATATGTGAGATGTGTGGGCATATATTATGTATGTGTATGCATACGTGTATGCTCACATGAGAGCATACAAAAGTGTGCGCACGTAGGATTTATATATACACTAGATAGGGGTTAAGAGCGTTGGGCCAGTAACCGAAAGGTCGCTGGTTCGAATCCCTGAGCCTACTAGGTGAAAAATCTGTCGGTGCCCTTGAGCAAGGCACCTTAACCATAATTGCTCCTGTAAATCTCTCTGGATAAGAGCGTCTACTAAATGAATAAAATGTAAATGACTGACAGGGGGCCCTGTTTTGAAGGCAGTGCGCCTCCATCTTGGCACTACCTCACCATTGTAGATTTTTTTGGGAAGCTATAGAAATGCATGTATTTATGTATATATTTATTTTTGCCACGTTTATTATATTACAGACACCTTAATGCATACTTTTAAATTATATTATGTGAGCTAAACATAAAAATAAGAAATGAAAAATATAAAGAAAATTCCTTAAAATATATATTTTTTAAAGTTCTAATATTACTGTCCCCACTATAACAAAAAAACTTAAATACATGTAATTTTGTAATTGAAACATTTCATTGAAATACTGTAGAATTCCATTCATTCCTATGGAGGACTGCTTCTTCTGAGGAGTGCCAATATGGCCGACCGGTGGCTTCAAAGCCTCTCACTGTCCAATACATAGCATCAGAAATCCAGGGTTTATATACATCATTGGTGTTCCTCATCATTTCAAAAGAGGGGGCTATTTTTCTCAAGCTGCTTAGTGCACAACTTATTTCATCAGTCGATTCAGGGGCTTGGAGTCGGCCTTTGTCCAAATGATCCATAGTGGCTGAATGTACAGTAGAATGCAGGTGGTGGTGCTACCGATTCACTACCATCACACTTGTACTGGATACTGTACTGGATGGTTATGGTAGGAACACTTTGTTGCACTATGGGTGACCTAGATTTACCAGGGGCTCAATGACCATCCTCCCCACACAATCTTATCATAAAGACAACATTCAGGAATCTCTGTCTTTCTCTACACACACACAAACACTAACACACCCTTCTACCCACTCGTCATAACATTTCACAAGGTCAGAATCCCCATGAACCATGTTATGCTAGATGACATAATAAATACGCAGGAATTTAAAAATCATTAACTGAGGCGGTGTGTGTGTGTGTGTGTGTGTGTGTGTGTGTGTGTGTGTGTGAGAGAGAGACTCATGCTGTCTTGCAAGTCCCTTTGGAGTAACTGTCTGGAGTGTGGGGTAGACAGTGACAAAAAAGGAGACTGAGAGAAACAAAAAACAGACAGAGAGAGAGGAAGAGTTCTTCTAATTGCAGCTCGGGGGCCTGTTGGCAAGACAAGGCATTACTCAGCCTCACCCAGCAACCCAGGCAGGTAACCCATTTACCACCCCAAAATAAAAAGTGCTGATTTTGCCAAGTCAAGCACCTCCCTCTGCCTCGCAGCTAACACCTCCACACCCATCGCCTCATTCCCTAACAAGCTCACTCTGTAACCAGAGCTGGTGGTAAGTCAGTCAGGTGCAAAACTCAAGTGCCACTCACGCCTCAGGCAAGATGCGCCGGGGAAATGGGTACTACACAGCAGGGTAAACTAAGGTCAGCACCAGTAAAAGGCGATGCTGTTACTTATAGTGTGTGAACAATGTGTTCTACGCGAGATAAAGGCAGGGAATTATGCTAAACTCAAACACGATTAAAACGCGTTAAATAAATACGAGCCAAATGCTGCCCTGAGGACGGCTGGGTTGTGTGTCTGGGAAGGACAGCAATCGAAGCTGCGATCCTGGCACAGTCACTAGTTAATTATACAATAACTGGGACCTTGTTCTGCCCCCCTCCATCTCTCCAGCTCTCTCTTTTAGTCCATATTTTACTACAATACTCCTTTTCTCTCTTTCTGCGTTTATGAAAATGAATCTCATCTGTGCAAGGCATCGTAAACCCCACGGTTCCTGACAAATAGGCTTCATAAATAAGCTTAGGGAGCAGGGAGGCTCTAAATGGTCATTTAGTGACAAACATCTTTGAAAGAAGCCTGCCTTGGGCAAACAGGCGAAGAAGAAGACGAAAAATATTTATTTCACTGGTGTAATTGCTAAGGCTAATTCGACGCTGGCCCTCTTGTTTGCTCTACTGGTTGGATGGCTCAAGCCCTGCTGTTTCCGTTGGCCGAGACCTGGTTAACAAGCCGCCGCTGGCCCGTCAGATTTCCCCAGTCACAAGAGAAAGATAAAACCGATGACCTTCAAGCCCATTGATCTGAGGCGGGCTCACCTCTGTGGCACACTGGGGGATCGCTTTGAGCGCTGCTGGAAGGTTCCACACAGGCTGGTTGGGGATAATTCTGCCACATGTGGGACAGAGGTATGTGTTGCTATGCTCTCGTCTAGTTTAAAGCCCAATCCCTTCTCTGGATAACCGTTCCAGTCGTTGCACATATGACGTTCTATTCTAGCACTAGCATATGTGATTCTCCTAAGCAAAAGTATGCTAGTACTGAAATACAACAAAAATGTGCAACGGTTGAGGGTTCCCGAGGTAATGGAAATAGAGGTTAAATTCTGTAGTGTATGGCCCTAAAAAAATAACATCATAGAAAGACCCATATGAGTTGGTAGGGATGGTTTTATGCAAATATCATGTCAAATTCAACAAACTATTAAATAGGTACTCATCTGAGAGTAAACATGTTCGCATCAGTGGAGAAGACAATGAGAATTACTTAAGCATGGACCTGCTTACACCCTTACATGTGGCCACACGGGACCATGTTCAGAAAGCGTGTTTGCAAACAGAGCCGTCAGAACCTTGGTCGAGCAGCCCCTTAAACAAGGTTTATGTAATAAGGGTTTCAGATCCACTGCTGGGAGGCAGCGATACCTCTAAACCTCAGAGCCGGGGCTGCTGGGATGCGTGTGGAGGCTCAGACAGGAGAGCAAGCAGTCAGAGCCCATTAAGCCCGACGTGACAGCCAGTCCAATCATTGCGGCAAGAGATCCTGCTGCTAGCATCCTGCCTAGAGACTCGGAGAGAGCAACAGTAAGCCAGGCAGCTAGCTGCACTGTGCTGATGGGTGCAGTAAGGTCTTCCCCGCCCAACGCATGTTCCATTTAACCAAGCTTGTTTCTAGAACTTCCCAGAAAGTTCTCAGTAGTGTTGTATCCTAATGGTGCATCGGATGGAGTCTCCCGGAGCCTGGTCGACATGTGTGACTGAGGCAGACAGACGGGCATGTCTTCACCCATCCTCATCCCGGCTGAGGGGATCAGCGCTGTCACCAGCAGCCCACCCTGCTGCGCCGTGACCCAGATCACTGGAGATGCCAAAGTGCTCATCTCACTCTCTCCCCCCCCGATGGAGAGAGAGCAAGCGCGATGTAGTGCACAATGCTGGAGAGCAGCGGTTCAGATGAACAGGCAGCATGGCGTGTCAGAGAGCATCTTGGTACGCCTCCAAGGAAAATACCCTTCTGGGTCATGGTCGTGACGGAGGGGATGGATTTAAAGCAGCCATTGATCCAAAACTGGTTGTGGGAAGTCATGAGGTACCGTCATACTTATTACCATCACAATGAATGGCACAACCATGAGTGAAAACGTTCAATCATGTTAAGTGTGCATCTATGTTCTCTCATTCTCCCTTACTCACTCCCCTCTTTTCAGTTCATCAACTGTCCCTTTAGGGGTTGTGTGTCAACGGTGTGAAACGAAGGCGTCCCATTTTCTTTCCCCCGCTATAAAGGCTGGCAATACTGTTTTGGTTAATCACACTGTCAAATGGAAAATAACCAAGGACAATGCGATACTGAATACTATGGTAGGCTTTTACCTCTGGCCAAACCTCTGGAGGAGACCTGCAGCATAGAGAGACTGAGGGAGGCTGCCATTGTGCTCAGGGCAGGCAGGGAGAGAGAGACAGAGGCTGAGAGAGAAGAGTAGAGCCAGGTGATTGACAAAGGATATTATCGGGCCCATTTCTCCCCTGGGTGAAATCTAGCACTTCAAAGCAGCCCATAATTGAAATGGAAAAACAGCTGCATTATTAGCCTGATCACACAGTCCAACCTTGCGGAGGAGAAACCAAATAAAAAGGTGAGAGAGGGGGATGGAGGTGGGTGAGAGAAGAGGAAGAAAGAGGGGAGGGAGGGTAGGAGAGGTGGGGTTGGGTGCCTTTTAAGCCTTGCCAGAGTAGACAGATTCATTTCGTTTATGCATTATGCATGTGTGGCGCTCCGTGTGATCATGCTGACTGCTTGTTATTAAGTGTGACGTGGGGAGAAAACACGGCGCGTCAACAGACCTCACACACGCTCACACGCAACTGCCTCGAACTTCGGCATTACTAGCATTGAGAGAGAGAGAGAGAGATTGCATTCTTCACTGCTTGGCATTCTAGGCAGTGGCTGAAGAGTTGTGACTAAAGTGTGCCCCAGCCATAACAAACCATACGCCAACACGTAACATCGCTCTTGAGACACCTGGATCGCCACCATGTCTCATTTGTCATCCCCAGGCCACCGTAATATATTCCACTAATATTCAGACGATGGCAGTCCGTTAATTAAAAATCAAGTCCCTCAGCGACCTTTGTCCTTTTGTCGAGGATAGGAATTTTTGGGGATGTCCCTCAGGGGGTACAACAGCTGGTGGTCTTGACAGATTGCAAACTCATCTGTCGCGGTGTTGTCATTGTGGTTTTAATGGCCAATGAGTGGCGATGCATTCTAATTTGTCCGGGACTGTAGGCTTATTGCAAGTGGAGTGCACTTGGCGCCGACTCCGTAGAGTGAAGCAGGGTGCTGGAGCAGGATAGGCGTGTGGCCAGCCTGGTGGTATAGGGCACCGGATAAAGTGCATCCCCCGGCTCCTGACATTTCTATATTTGTGTTTATACCGGAGGACATGGATTGTGTTCTTTTTCCCCTCCCCTTCAGGGCTCGGACTGAGCTTTGCCCTGGCGAGGGACAGTCTGGGTGCAGGCTAATTGAGCGAGGTGGACAGCACTTCTGGTGAGCTGGGGGTAAAGCTGCGAGGTTGGATGGGTTGATTAGTGTGTGTGTGTATGTGTATGTGTGAGAGCATCTGGTGTCAGTGTCTCAGTTCACCTCTCTGAACCGGCATGGCAGCCAACATGAGAACACAGTGTACTCAGACATGCTCCAGTACAGGCACACACACACAGCGATGGTTTCAAAGAACCCTCGACACAAAGACCGAAGGAGACCCTGCTGTGCTGAAGTATAATTACATTTACATTTTAGTCATCCATTTTAGTTATCCAGAGCGACTTACAGTTAGTGAATACATATTTTTTTTATACTGGCCCCCCGTGGGAATCGAACCCACAACCCTGGCATTGCAAATGCCATGCTCTATCAACTGAGCTACATCCCTGCCGGCCATTCCCTCCCCTACCCTGGACGACGCTGGGCCAATTGTGCGCCGCCCATGAGTCTCCCGGTCACGGCCGGCTGCGACAGAGCCTGGATTCGAACCAGGATCTCTAGTGGCACAGTTAGCACTGCGATGCAGTGCCTTAGACCACTGCGCCACTCAGGAGACAATATAATATAATATAATAATCTTAATTATTTACATGGACATGATATTAGTTTCAAAAGCTAAAATATATTTACCTAGAGAGAGAAAGGCAATAAGTGCACTGAATAAACTACATTGAACAAAATTATAAATGCAACATGCAAAGATTTATGTTACAGTTCATAAGGAAATCAGTCAACTGAAATAAATTCATTTGGCCCTAATCTATGGATTTCACATGACTGGGAATACTTTTTAAAGGTAGGGGCGTGGATCAGAAAACCAGTCAGTATCTGGTGTGACCAGATACTTCGCATAGAGTTGATTGTGGCCTGTGGAATGTTGTCCCATTCTTTTTCAATGGCTGTGTGAAGTTGCTTGATTTTGGTGGGAACTGAACACCCTGTCGTACATGTCGAACCAGAGCATCTCAAACATACTCAATGGGTGACATACAGTGGGGAAAAAAAGTATTTAGTCAGCCACCAATTGTGCAAGTTCTCCCACTTAAAAAGATGAGAGAGGCCTGTAATTTTCATCATAGGTACACGTCAACTATGACAGACAAAATGAGAAGAAAAAAAATCCAGAAAATCACATTGTAGGATTTTTTATGAATTTATTTGCAAATTATGGTGGAAAATAAGTATTTGGTCAATAACAAAAGTTTCTCAATACTTTGTTATATACCCTTTGTTGGCAATGACACAGGTCAAACGTTTTCTGTAAGTCGTCACAAGGTTTTCACACACTGTTGCTGGTATTTTGGCCCATTCCTCCATGCAGATCTCCTCTAGAGCAGTGATGTTTTGGGGCTGTCGCTGGGCAAGACACACTTTCAACTCCCTCCAAAGATGTTCTATGGGGTTGAGATCTGGAGACTGGCTAGGCCACTCCAGGACCTTGAAATGCTTCTTACGAA